ATCATGGATTCCACCTCTGAGGGAGACTGTAAGGATCAAATGAGATGCTCTATCCAACGCAGCTGCACTTAATTCTTACCACTTTATAAGCACTTAATGAATGTTGGTTATAATTACGTCCTCAAATTTTTACTTTTTTCTTTTTTTTGGTACCAGGGACTGAACCCCTAGCCATTCAACCACATCCCCAGCCCTTTTTATTTTGAGACAAGGTCTCACTAGATTGCTTACAGCCTTGCTAAACTGCTGAGGCTGGCTTTGAACCCACAATCCTCCTGCCTCAGCCTCCTGAGCCGCTGGGATTACAGGGGTGTGCCACTATGCCCAGAAAACTTTTACTTTTCTTAATTTCTAAAACTATCATATGGTAATAATTGACTTTTTGGTTTTTGATTATATCAGTTCTCACACCTGTGTAGATTTATGTGCTCCCCCTCCCCCCTTCAAAAGGCAGACAGAGAGTTCTCTCTCGCCAGATACTTTTTGGTGATATTCCTTTATAGCTAAATTCTCCTCTTACCCCAAACCCTGGTGGGTGGTGTTCTGTTCTTTTTTCACTAGACTCTTAGAACCACTGTGTGTCACCTTCTGTGATGACTTCTTTCACTGAGCCTACTAATACTGCTCAGATACATCCAAATTACTGCATTTATCAACAATGTGCTCCTTTTTAATTGCTGGATAGTATTTTGCCACATGGCTATACTGTGGCTGACTTGCTGAATTATCACTTTTTAAAATAATTATTTCCACAAGCCAAGGAAGGATTCAGCTGTGCTTCACTCCTAGGTTCTAAGACTCCCTGGGGAAATTTTGATGATTGCTGAATAGTGTCCTGGCTCAAAGCATGCAAGGGACCCAGAAGTGCACACATTCTTCATACTCGAAAGACATGGGAACCAAAGCCTAGGGATAAATTGCCTAACCTCACACAAAACTAATTCTGAAAGCTGGTCTCTTTTTCTCCTGCCCATGGGAAACCAGGTCCTGGGAGGATTTCTTGCTAGACATATGTACCTTTTGCAGACGACACTTGGACAGGCAAGGGCTAATCCTGCCTGCCTGCCTGCCTCCTGGTGATTGCCCTTTCTGCCACCTGTCACTGGGAACACTGGGAGCCCACCCGACCAGAGGCCAGTTTCCCTTCCTGGGGCTGCACACGTCATCACATCATGCAGAACAGGAAGTGATAATGTGCACGGAGTTCAGCTGGAGCAGCCCTGCCCTTAATGGATGACAGCACTTCAGCAATCATTAACAGCCACCGTTGCAGGCTGAGCCAAAGCCAGACTGGCCTCCCAGCTGCTCATTTACTACTTTGAACCAGCTTCGCTCCAGCAAGATGAAACTGTGAATCACCCTCCCTGGGGCTTCAGGGTTCCTGTCCTCAACTGGCCCCAGACACAACCCTAGTTCCACATTAATTTCTCAGAGAAAGAGAAGCCTGGGGACAAGGGGAGCTCACAGAGTCAACTCCAGGCTGGAAGAAATTTTCCTACGAGGCACTCTGTCAGAACAGGGCCCCCAGAAGTCACAGTGGGTACAGAGCCACACCCTCCCATCCTGGCCCGGGGCCTGCGGACCACCACCCCAGGCCCCCCACTCCTGAGCACCGGTTCCCTGGAAGGATGGCAGCTCCACTTTCCAAGAGGCTGAACTCCTACCGCTCCATTGAGGGGTTTCATCTGGATCCCAAGCAAGTGAGTCATGAATGTGTGAAAACATGAACTAATATTCATAATCACTGTACAAGTTAAAGAACTCGAAGGAAAACCAGCTTCTGTGTGCCTCGCCATTGCCATCTGGGGTGCACTGTGGAAAACACAGCTTCTCACCGGAATCCCAGACTTCATCTCCCCAGCTAGCCCCAGCCCTGGCAGCCCTCAGCCCCATGAATCCTTCATCCATGGCGTCTCAGGCACCTACCCATCCCTGGGATGTGCAGCCTCCAGAGACCCTGGGACCTTTGACTCCACTGCCTGCCTCCCATCAGGTGCCACTTCAGTCAACATCCACTGGTGCCCAGGCTGGACCTCAGGAGGGAACATCATAGTGTCCCTGTCCCTCCTCCCTCCCCCATCGGTCCCAAGAAGGCCCAGGTTCTCTCTTCCTCCACCACAGTTTTCTGAAGTATCACTTAGGTGCAGCGAAGCACGCCAACTTCAAATGTAGGCGCCATATGTCAACCTGGGTGCGCTGGTGCAACCGCCACTCAAACACACAGGTTGTGTTTCCAGCACCCGAGGAGCTCCCTCATGTCCCTCCTAGAGAATGCCCTCTCCTAAGCTGTGGCCTGAGATTCATCTGGAGTTCAGGTTCTTATTACCTCTCCCCTAACTTACTAAGTAATTTCAATAGATAAATTTTATTGTGTATACTTAAGGTCTACAACATGCTATTATGAAATGCACACAGACAGTAAGAGATTGCTATAGCGAAGCAAATTAACCATTCATCGCAGCTGTGTGTGTGTGTGTGTGTGTGTGTGTGTGTGTGTGTGTGTGTGTGACAACAGCAGTTAAAGTCTTCTCATTCAGAAAGAAGTCCACACCCGGTGTGACTTCATTACCCAGAGTCCTCACGGTGCTCATCAGATCTCTACACCTGTTGATCTCACACACCTGCCACTTGGCAAATTAAGTTTGCAATTACTGACTGCCTCCTTTTCGACCCTGGGTCCCTGAGCTGACCTGTGCTGTGCTGCTGGATTCCTGAGGTACAGCTCCGAGGCTCATGGAGGCTTCAGGGTAGGGCACACACCTCCAGCCTCAGCCCTTCCCCTCTCCTGCACATCGTCCCCTGGTTTCTCTGGGTCTTGTCTTTCATGGAGTGTGACCAAATCTCCCTGGGCTGCAAGCTCCAATCCCAGTTTCTGTCTCGCAGACCCACGGACTCCTCACCCGGGTGTTGCTGCTACCTCTTAGATGCACACTATCGATCCTACTCTGTGGCTCACACTACATAATGTGCCAGCCAGAGTCTCCTGTGTCTATATGCACTCTCACATCCTTGCTGTTCCAGTTCTTGAGATAGCTTCTGGAACTCTGGAATTTCTCAAATTAGCTTTTTTAGAAATTGGGGAAGGGAGGAAATGACCTAGGATTTCTTATTTGGCCCAATATGGGGGGCGGGGGAATCATCACCCACTATCAATAGTATTTCATCCATGTAAAGACTCCGGAGTGAAAAATGAACACTGCAGAGAGATAACCTCAGAATGAAAGGATCTGGCATTCCGTCAACACACTGGCCTATGAAAAACCCACATTGCCCTCATTTTTTTACACTTGCTCTAAAGAAAATTCCCGTAGACCAACTGATTCCAGGGCCTAAAGACCCCACTGCCCTGCACCCCCTAGTATAGAGACACCGACACAGGAAACGCTCAATGGGTGCTCAGTGCAGCTGCTCTGGGCACAGAAAACCATGGGGTTCACAGACAAGCTGCTTTTCAGCACTCCAACACGTGAACCCAACACCACGAGGTTGGTGAGGGGTGACACCCCAAAGACCAGGAGGACAGAGGACCTGGCCATTCTCAGTGGCAGAATCGAGAAGCAATCCCAATGTGTTATGTGTCCACATGACAACTCAAGATAAGCTGCAGGCTCTGATGTTGGCACAGGTGACTGTCATTATCACTAATCTCAACCCTGCATGGTACATAATAACCAATCCTGAAGTGCTTATGGGGGTAAGTGGAGGCCAGAGGGCCAGGAGGTAGGGCCACCACAGCCAGCTATGCATGGCTGAGAAGTGAGCCAGGCTGAAAGCTCACCTGTGCTGCACCCGCCGTGCAAGTGCCCTGGCCTGGGGTCCTTCTATCCCCTAGAGGAAACGCCCTTTTCTGATTTGCACAAAGAACCAAGATTCTAGTGACCCAGAACCCTGGATTTCAATTCAAAGCTCACAATACCTCTGGTCAAATATACACATACACATATACACACACACACACAAACATCCAGTGAATCCAGTGAACCCTTGTTCAGAGAGCCAACAAAGGATGCATGCAGAACAGGATGTTAAAAGTATTTAAGGGAACCACCTTAAATGACATTTCTAGTTCAACATGGAGGTGGGGCACACACAGCCACTCAGGAGGCTGAGGCAGGAGGATCACTGGAGCCCAGGAGCTCAGGGCCAGCCTGGGCAACACAAGGGACTCCCTTATCTCCAAAAAAAAAAAAAAAAAAGGCCATTTTTTTCTTAAAAGTTGTATTATTTACATGTTTTTAAAATTCATTAAATTGTCTCTTGAATGACTTCTACCAAGGTTCTAGCTTTAAACATTAATTTTTAATAAATATTACACCCAGTTAATAAAAACTCATCTACTCATATTTGACTATTCTGGTTCTTCCTTATTTGTTCCTATTAGTTTAAAATAGTTTTATTTAACTTTAGTGAAAAGGTAGAGAAATCTATACTAAGCAGCATCTGAAGTGTCTACAGATATAAAAACTGAATTTTTTTTTTTTTTTGTACTAGGGATTGAACCAGTGCAGTGTTTAACCACTGAGTCACAGTCCAGCCCTTTTTGTTTTATTTTGAGACAGGGTCTCACTAAGTTGCTTATGGCCTTGCTAACTTGCAGATGCTGGCTTCCAACTTGCAATCCTCCTGCCTCAGCCTCCTGATCTGCTGGTATTACAGGCACTTGGCTAAAATTTAAATCTTCTACATAGTACACAGAGCCCAAACACTCTTTGGGTCATCTAGTGATGAACTCATCCCCATTGTTGGATGAAAACTATAAATAAAATTCATTTTAACGGTTCATTCAACAAACCTGGGTCAGGTTTGTTTGTACACCCTCAGTGTTTTCTCAGTTCTCAAATGAAACTCATGTTTTGGAACGATAAGTGAAATGACGAAACATTTGCAGCGAGGTATCAACGTGGGCGGTCCCTCGTACAAGGCCTGGCCCTTCCCAGGTAAGAGGCCCCAGAGGATGTTCCTCCCGCTCGGCAGACATGTTCCAACAGCTGTCTTCTTACCTGGATGGTGGTGTTGCCTCCTTCCAGAAGGGCGATGGCCAGGAGGATGCTTTCATGGAACACCCGGTCACTGGATGCATTCATGATGAGGTCGATGACCAGATTGGAGGCCCCCTCCTTGTCAAGGTGACACTGAACCTCGGCCAGGCTCATTTCACCCCTGCTCATGGAGTTGGATCCCGAACCTCCCCCTGAGAAGACAGAACATTGCTCTCACCAAACGAGACAGGGTAGTGAATGAACACTTCTGCACGCTCACACTGCCGGACACATCAGACACTCACGTTTTCCCTGAACGAGCTCTCCTTACCCTCTCAACACCCCCCAAAGGAAGTGCTACTTACTAACACAGAGAGAAGAAGTGGGGTGCTCAAGGATGCCCATCTTCCAGTAAAGTGGCAGAGATGGTGCTGAGCTCAGGTAAATAAGATGAAGGAAAAATGACATTTCCTTCAAAGTCCTCTAGCCAGGACTAGTCCATGAAAATGCAATCACTTGGGGAAGAATTATCAAGTACTGGTTTAAGAGATGGACCACACTGACCCACTATGAAACACTCCTAAGGAAGCATGACTGTAATGATCATTGCAGCCCTCTTTCTCCAAACCCACCATAGCCCCAGACTCATCTGGTCCACTCATTCAGCATGGAGCCAAGCACTGGGGACAGGGAGAATGGGCTGCTGAACTGACAGAAAGACCATCCCTATCACATAATGGGCAACTTGGAAGCTCCGTTTTCATACAGCTTCAGACTAAATGGATACACCTAAGAAAATGAGCCTGTGCCATTCCTTGGAAAGGATTCTGCATGGTTGCAAAGTATTTAAGAACATGCCTTGTATGACCATGGGCAATGCCACAAATGTTAGTGCACATGGATAAAGGGGTTGATCGGAATCAGGAAGCAGAAAACTGTCCATCAGCCCTTCCCTGCCGAGGTCAAGTAAAATGCCCTTCCTTTGCACTGCTTGTCCAGTGAGTACAAGGTGGAAATGGCCTGCACTATCTTCTCTGCTACAGCTTCTTACAGCTGAATCTGTCTCCTCGAATTCCCCCATGATGCTTCTCAATGGCCTCACCTATTGTCAAAGGACCCTACTATAGAAGGTAAAGAGAAAACACTTTCAGATGTTGCCCAAGAAACATGAGAACGACATGGGATTTTAAGGTTTGAAAAGCTGAGCTCAGGGATGTGCCAAGAGAACCCCATTGTTCCCAAAGTGCACACAGCTCCAGGAACTGAGCAGACAAACTTGAAGTTCCAGCTGGTGAGGAATCCCCACTCCCTCCCTAGGGGCTGCTAGGATAAATGTATTCAACCTGAAGCACAAAGTATCTCTGTGCTTTGCTTGGGACCCATCAAGGATCTGAAGATTACTTAACAATCACCAGGCAATCAGACAACTCTCATTGGTGCTCTGGGCACTGAGCTCCCAGATCACCCCAAAACTCAAAACTATGTAGGACCCAGCATGGCATAAACGTTTTTAAAATTTTTCACTTTGATTGTGCTTACTCTGATTTGGAACATCTTCAAAGATCTGCTCTTAAGCTCTTTTGAATAGGAACCCTTAGTTATCTTGTCAACTCCCACAGGAGTTTGGGGGTGCACATGGCACGCGAATTGGAACTATATATGCCAGGTTCAAATTACAAATGAGCCCTCACAAGCTTCCATTTCCTCTGTTGAACTGACATAAAGACAGTACCCCTCACATGATGGGCAACTTGAAAGACAAAATGAGACGAAGGATACAGAGCACTTGGGAAAGCCCCTGGCACTCAGTAAGTACATAATACATGGCACTTTTCACCTTCCTGGCTGCCAACATCCTCCTCATTTTATGGGAAAACATGAGTCCTAATGGCCACAGGGAAATGTACAATAAAATCTAGTTTCTTGAGTCATTCAAACATCACCAAGAGGGCTATCACTTGGGAAAGAGGGACAAAGCCTTCATCAATACTTAATTGCGGGGCAGGGCTACTTTTCAGGGAAACAGGTTTAGACCTCAGTTTGACAGCAGATCACAGACCAAACACATTGCTAAGAAAACACAAATCCATCTAGGTTCAACCTGTGGAGCAGCAGTATACATGCAGCTACTCATCAGCACGGTACGCAGCCTACCTCCTCCCCCAGGCTTGCTGGGTCCTCCTGGTGACAGTGGGCCATTGCCAAAGCTGGTCAGGCTCTCTCTTCTTCCTGAAGGTCTGATGTTTCCATAGTAACGGTTGACCAGAATTTGCCTGAGCGCCTCACCCTTGATTCAAACAGGATAATGAAATCAGGTTCTAGATTTAATGCATAACTGAACGACTAATACTCAAAAAAGAAAACAACAGCAACAACAACAAGGGGGTATTTGGGTATAATTGGCCCAGTTTCACTCCATGAACATAAATAAATGATTAATAAAAGCATTTGAAAACTCTGATGTTGACTTCAATATTTTCTCCAGAAAAATGGATTTTTTAAAGGACAACAATCTAGAATATGACATATCTGAAGTGATAATCACACATTGATAAAGAATGCTAATTTTGAAGAGCAAATAACAATAATAAAGACGTATGGAAAATGTAAAAACACTGAAAATTCTACAGGTCAGCTTCTATATGCTGATATAAAAATGCTACTCCAACCACAGGGCTTCCTACCAAGGTCCCAAGAAAATACTAAGATACCAGAGTAAGAGAGAATAAGCCAGTATAATGACATAAGCCCAAAGTAAGTCTTTCTTACAATGATAGTTGATAGGCTAAATGGTAAAGAGAAAATAACAATATAGGGGATAAGTTAGTGGCAGGTGTCAAACATGTCAATCAAAAATAATCATCAAATGACTTTGTGGTCTGGAATTTGCTTTAAAATAATATGGGAGGAGAAACTGGGAGGAATATAAATATGGTAAGTGGATCCGATTTGGCGTCTTGGTGAAGGTGAGTTAACCACAGGGCTTGTCAAAACAGTCTCCATATTTCAACTTCTTCGTCATAAAAAGTTTTGACAATATAAACATGCAAGGAATACTGGACCAAGATGACAATAACTCTCATAACTAAAATAGATGATTGACTTTCTCATTAATACTAGGATGCTGAGCTAGCAGGGACCCATATTCTAATCATTCTGATTTTCAGGCATTTTCCCCCAGGGACTCCCATTCTACCTCTTTCTGAAAGTCAAAGGCTTGGTGGCTTTCCTCTGGATTGTTCCCCAGGGACAAAGCGGGAAGGCATGGAGATCCTGCAGTGTGTCATGGAGAGAGGTGAGTGAGAAGTCTAGCAGAGAAAGGTGCTGAAATCTAGCAGGTCTCTAAAATAGAGACGCCAGAGCACTCCAGAAGGGACCTGCAACTGTAACAGGAGCCAGTCCGACTTTTAGAGACCTGTTAATAAGCTCTGAGAAGACCTGGGTCTGGAGACTCCAAGGGAGGGTGTCTGGGGAGGTGGGGCCAGGGAGGGAGGAAAGGGCAGAGGAAACTCCCACCCTATTGACTGACAAAATCACCTAGAGTACCTGGCCATCCAGCTAGGTTCCTCTCCCTGGTTCACTCACAGTTGCTAATCAAAGATTTTTCTCAGGGACAAAAAGAATGAGGTAAACAGGTGTGGTGAGGGACAAGCCAGGGAAGAGGGATGCTGAGTTTTAAACGAATGTGAAGAAAATGAAAAAAATAAATTCCAATTTTCCCTTCTCCATTCTGACCTGTATGTTTCTAAAAGTCAAAGCCTTTCCCCCCCACCCCCACAAATGAGGGAAACAGCTCATAAAACTCATTTCCCATCTGTACTATCAATTCAAAATTCCAAGACCAGATCCAATGAGGAAGTTCCTTATAATGTCTTATGTACTTTATTAAAAAGAAACTGTTTGCCCTGGTGGCGGAAAAAGCTTTCCTTACAAGATTCTTTGATGGCTGAGAAAACCCCATTTGGATATTGAGACACCTTTTCTGGTATTGCCTGCCATCTCAGGCACCAGGAGAAACACAACAAAATTCTCCAAAGTGATCACTGGGAAGTGGGGGATTTAAAAGCTGGTCTTCCTAAGAGAAGCAAATTTTAAAGAACATTCAAAGAAAGAAACGGGGAAAAGAAAAAGTCAGCCACATGTTAAATACCAGAGATGAAAATGATTTCCCCTTTTAAATATATCCCGGGGCATCCAGCTGATGTTCTTGGAGGAAGAATAGACTTTAAGTTCCCAAGAGAGAGGTGGCTGGCCGGACACCCTCCCCAGTCGCTGGCTGAATCCCTGGGCACCCTGAGGAGGCTGTTTGGAAGGCAGATGGCTTCGATGACAGCTGGAGGCAAGAGTCGGGAAGACCACAGGGCCGGATGGTCTGATGAATGAAGTCTGCTGGGCACCTGCCCTGCGCCTCCTGCCACCATGCCACGCATGGGCCAGAGTGACTCAGTTAGGTTTCCACCTCCTGGTGGATGTTTTTCTCTTCCTTCCACATAGTGAGGAGGGGAAACAGCAAGACCTTGGGCAGCGGCATGCAGTCCGACAGGCAGGAGGGAAAGACAGGAGCACGTGGACGCCAAACAGGAAGTCCACGTTTATGAGGACTGGATGCCAGGCTGCAGCTACGGAGGGACTGCACATTACCATTCAGCCTCTCCTCTAGCAGAAAAGCCCCAGCAGTTGCCATGGTAACCGATGCATCAAATGGTACATCTCCCCCAGAAGAGAATATCATGAACCGTTCTCGTTATGGGGGGGAGGGGCAAAGAAAAAAAGGAGCACATTCCCCACAAACTTTGCCCCCTCTTAATTATAAGGTCTCAGGCACACAGTCATCTCACCTGCTCTCTGCACACATGCAAAATTTAAATGTATACAGAAGGAAAAAACCCAAAGAAACCAGCAAGGGGGACTTACTTTTGTTTTGTTTTTTTAAATAACAAACGAGATGCTTTTATTTTCCTCAAAGAAAAAAGATGGAAAATTTGAGGTAAGGAGGAGAATTGGAAGAGAAAAAAAAATGGCTAAGCATCATTATTAAAAGTTATGCAAATCCCTGGTGTGAACACTTAGGTTCAAGGAAAATTTCTGTGGTTGTTTTCCTTTTCCTGAGCCATTGGTTTAATTTAAAAAAAATCAAAATCTGCAGAGAAAAGCCCTTCCAATCATCTTGATAATCATCACTCAAAAGGAATGAGCTTATCACAATCTACCAGGCTAAGAAATCTGATGGCAGAGGAGGGGCAAATGTCTTTCCAAATAGTGTCACCTCTAGAGCTTTAGCATTTGGTTGTGCATTTAAAAAAAAAAAAAATGTGGGGCTGGGGTTGTGGCTCAACAGTAGAGCGCTTGCCTAGCACGTGCAAGGTGCTGGGTTCAAGCCTCAGCACCATAAATAAATAAATAAATGGATGAATGAATAAATAAATAAATAAAGGTTTTTTTTAAAGCTAGTTTTTCCCCTCCCCAGTAATTTACATGTACAGCATGCAAACAAATATTGGGTTTGTCTCCACTAAGAAATTCCATACATACTGTTACCTAAGACTTAGAAAAAGGAAAAGTTACAGGGAGTTTCATTTGGAATAAAACATTGACGAAATCCACCCTGCCAGCCCCCTGAGTTTTTATTTCTATCAATTAAACCAGGGACTGTGAACTGGGTGGGAACAAAGCCACTGAGTTCACACAGCCAAGTGCAAAGAAGAGGGAAAGCCATCTTTTGGGTTCCCAGGTCCCAGCCATGTGCCTCCCGCAAAATGGGTCTTCTCAGGTGAGCTGTGAGTCTCTCACACCCTGGTCAGTGCTAAGGTGGCATCTGAATTTAAAAATACCTCCCTTTTTCTACTTCTGCTGTGAACAAGACAACCTAAGCATTTCAAAATGCAAGGCTGACTACAATCCGATAGATTCTCCTTCACTGGATGCCAGACGCTGTGCTCAGTGCTTTATGGATCAATTTGTATGACCGTCCAAAGAGGGATGGAGACTAGTATCCCCTCCGTTTTGCACAGAAGAAACTGAAGCACAGGGAGGTTAACTAACTTGCTCCACAGCACACAGCAAGTACCTGGCAAACAGAGACTGGCATCTGTTTCTAATGCCAAGGGTTTTCAATACTCAGTCTCCTGAGAGCTTAGACCTCAAGGGACAGCTAGGTGCCTTTGCCAGCTACTTCTAAGACCTAGGATAGGACATCAGTGGCAGCCAGGATGGAAACTATGAGAGTTCAAGGTGCCCATGGTTGATGAGCTGCAGGAGACACAGGATGCTGGAGGGGCTACAGGACTGTGCCCTGAATTCTGCAAAATGCAAACTTTCCCGGAGCTCCTCTCAAGCCACAGTCTGAGGAACGATAAAGATCGTTTCTCCATTAGAGCAAGAGAACAAAAAGGGATGTGGTAACGCTGGCCAGCGCATCAGTGCGTGAGCATCAGGCTGCCCATTTATAGCAGGTGTGAACTCTCTGGGACACGGAGGCCCCCCAATTCTTTACCGTGGCTGTTCATTTCCTGACCCCATGACCTTGGGCAAGTCATTGAACCCATCTGAGTCTCAGTTTCTTAATCTGTGAAATGGCGATAAAGGTCATGGCATCGGGTCAGGGCAAGCATTAATAAAAACTGATGCATGGACATATGACGCCAATCTTAGCATGGCCATAGGCAGATGAAAAAGCTCTCACAAAACTGATTATCCTCCCAAAATTGATATGATGAAGATTGGTGCTGGTCCAGGTGCCGGTAGATACAGATGACTTTTTAGAAAATAGTTCTGCAGGGTGGAGTCAGCACTGTAAGAAAGAACCACCCTTTGGCCAAGACAGTCCCCTCCTAGGAATCCACTCAGATACACGCCTGCTCGCCTCCTTGTCAAATGAAAACCTTACAAGCTGCACATGAACCTGAGGACCTGTGTGCAGCTGTTAACTTTCGAAGACTTTCAACAGAAAACTCAGATGCAACAGTAAATGATGAAAGCCAGGAATAGAAGCGACATGCTTAGAATAATCTCAGAGAAAACGTGCCCATGTTTATTGGAACATGTGGTCCCATGGTTGAAGGAAAAGCCATCGGCATTTACAGCTGGGTAGTGTCACTATGAACTACCTTCGTTATAGTTTTGTGTTTATTGTTATCTATAAAATCATCAGTTACTATAGGAAAAAAAAACTTGTTTAGACTCCACCTAAGTAGAAAGGAAAAGCTTACGTGGTCCTTATTTAGAGCCCGGCTGGTTACAGTGCCCTGATTGGGTAGATAATAGGTAGAACTGCTAGTTACTTTCACTTACACCAAAGGCCACGATTGGGCCAAGGAATGTTTTAACCATAGTAACAACAACAAAAGCTAACTTTAAATCTCAGGGTATGGCTGAGAGGGCAGTAAGGGTCAGTCAAGAGCTCCCAACACAGAGGACTCTCGGCTACCTACCCTTTTATGGTCTTCCAGTTGTCTCAGGGGTGGACTTGATTCAAGCTCCTGCTAAGTGTGCAGAAATTTCTTTTTAAGTATCACACTGAGGAGACTACCATCTTCACCAACACACAGCAGGCTCATACACAGCCACAGTCAGACAGACAGCAGGCCTCTTTGTGCATTTCTTCAAATACAATACCAATGCTAAATTATGTTAGGCCCAACCAACTCTACTGCATGTTTTTAATAAGACTTTCTAGAAAACAAAGTCATCATCATCATTATCACTGGTATTGACCTCAGAGGTGCTTAACCACTGAGCCACATCCCCAGATTCTCTTTTTTTTTTTTTTTTGGAGACAGGGTCTCACTAAATTATTGAGACTGGCCTTCAACTTGCAATCCTTCTGCCTCAGCCTCCCAAGTGGCTGAGATTACAGGCGTGCATCACCATGCTGGGCTTGGCTATCATTTTTTTGCATTATGTTTTGCAGAGGTTATAAAATGTATGTTCTGTAAGCTACGGTATCATATTAACCCCAAAGGGGGCTGACAAGCAAGACTCAATCAGGCAGGCCTCAGGATTCAGGCATGCATTAAGGCACGGTTCATGCAGTACACACGCTTCTGGGTAGACGGACGCACACACAGACCACAGCTCCCTGCAAGCCCCGGACAGACAAGTAAGTATTCTAATCAAAACTGAGTGCAGAGCTGATTAGAATATGATGAACTGATCATTAGAACAATTCACTCAACACAGTCATCTACGTCTGTGCTTCATTTTTAAGATCTTCCGTATGCGACTTTCCAACAAAGTGCATCTCATTCTAGCTAGAGCTCCTGTGATCTGCAGTTTCTGAAAGCAAATTCTGATACCTAGTAAACACAGCTCCCCCCAGAGCTTCCCTTTGATCTTGCACACTTCAACACATTCTAGCCCCTCGTTTAGTGCGCAGTGTTGGCGGCAGGAAGGACAGGACAGAAAGGAGGTGTTGGTTGTGAAACTACAACTTTCTCCACAGTTTCGACTCCAACTATAAATCAATATCCAGAATTTCAAAACCGGATCATCTTTGTACAGGGTCCAAAGTCAATTCTGTGTGACAAGAGAAAGATCTCATCGTCCCAGAATTTCTCAATGGAACACCTCAACGGAGGCGGGTTCTGTGTGAAGACCTTCCAAGAGGCACATTCATTCCCCACCTGGAGGACACTTGGCACAAGGTCCATCTCTGGGGGCCTTTCTTTCCACACTGAGAGTCCCATCCAGCACAGTCATGATCAGTTCCCTCCCACGTCTACCACGGAGACAGACATCCCCCTTGAAATTCAGACACGCAGCCAGGACAACCCAGAAGCACCCGTATTTGCTGGCACAACCAATACAGGTGAGCGACACACCTCTGTGGCGTTCTCGGATTCCGGAGCTTGTGGCAGCTGGTTGGGAAGAAAAAGCAGTGCGTTAGTCAGGGCACCTGCATCTCACAGGCCGCAGAGAAGGGCAGAGACAACATTGCAGGACGAGACACATGGCGAAGACCAAAGATGAGGTGTTCCTGCTGCATGGCCCACTCCGGTCACTAGGGTCACTTGCTCTTTTCAACTGAACGTGGTTGTGCGGGAATAGATGACCAGCCCGAGAGGGGGAACACATTCAAAATAAGAAATTAAAAAATGTGTACTGCTGACCAAGAAGGAACGAGTCTTAAAAAGCCCCTGAAGAAGAACCACACACATCAAGGCTCAAAGGGAACAAAGCAAACCACGCCGTGCGCACCCACGGTGGCTCGTGGAAGAGAGGAATGGGTGGGTGACAGGCGGCCAAGAGCTTGCAACAGTGGGCACTACTGCTCCTCGGGATGGGGGTCTGTGGAGGGCTTCTGCTCTCTGCCCTCTCCCCTTTCCCACCTACACGCGGTGGAATGTGTTGCCTGGGCTCAGGGCACAGAGAGTCCCCTGCAGTGTCTCTGGGAGAAGGAGGGGAGGCTGGGATCCAGGGTACTTCGTGCACGCCCATCCCCTCTGCCTGTTTTCCTTGGGGGCCTCATGGGCTGGGTTCCTCGACCCCCCGCCTGCCTTACCACAGAGACAGCCACCCCGCTTCCACCGCTGCCTCCTTATCACAATTTTTAACCCACAGAGGAGAGAAGGTGCTGGCAGGGACCTGCAAGTGACCTCGGAGGAGCATCTGGTAGCTCTAAGAAAAACGTCCACCACTGCATGTTGGGACAGCGCCACAAGTCTGGCCAAAGGACACGTGCCCAGGGAGGAAGCTGATGTGGGGTGTGACTGCCACACTGTGCACGGGCTGCCCCAGACCCAAGCCATGCACCAGGGGCATGACTGGAACAAGGTGCAGACTGGGGCTCTGGATGGCAGCCAGGGCGCAGGGCGCTCACGCTCACTGCAGGACCTTGGCCTCCAGCAGCCCTCCCACAATGCAGGGCAGCCCTCCACAATGCAGGGCAGCCCTCCACAATGCAGGGCAGCCCTCCCGCAGTGCAGCACAGTCCTCAGAGGCCAGGAGGTGGCTGCAGGGGACAGGCCAGGGCATGTGTAGAGAGCAGCAGGAACTGCAGTGTCACAATCCGCTGGCATTATCTTCCAGCGGATTGTGAAGGTGCAAAAAACCCTCTTAATCTAAGACCACTGTCACGTGACCTAAGAATTTCTGGTTTATTTTTCAATAGGTAAAATGCAGAGAGAGAGAGAAAAAAAAAAAAACCAAAAAACAAAACAGGGTATTCAAAATTGCTTAAACAAAGGCAACCGGATGTTCTTGAGAGCTGCTCACTTAATTCTCCACAGAAGACCTTTTCTGTCAGAGCCCAGCTCAGCAGTCTCAGGGAGAAGAGTCTCCCCTTGGAAGACCCAGCCTCCTGCTAGGGGGTGGGACCCAGGACACCAGTGTTGGAGGGAAACCAAGAACAACCTAGGGGTCAGTATTTCCTAAATACTACAAATAACAACACAATCCAATTCTTCACACTTTAGGGTGAAGAATTAAAACTGCCAACGTTTGTGCTTTCTGAAATAAATAAATAAACAAACAAACAAACAAATAAATAACTGGTAAGAGGAAGCAGAATGAAAGCCAGGGTCAGTGTGTTTGAGAAAACGGTATTATCTTCTATATTACATCAGCACACTCCTGCCGCCATAGGGATGGGGTTCCACAGACTCGCCTGCCTAGTCCCCCGTCAATCAAAACCAAAGCTAAATAAAAGAGCTGGAAGTGGAACAGTGTTGCTCCTGTTTGCTTTAGTTCTCCTCTTGCCTGGGCTTTCTTAGTCCAAAGAAGCATCTAGAATTCTTTCGCAATGATCACAGGTAATATATTCTTTATTTCCTAAACACTCTGAAAGTAGGGGCTTCTGATTTTTTTTTTTTATGATTGTGATCTTATTCTATTTCCTCCAAAATGATTGTTGGGCTTGCTTTAAAATGAGTTTAATTGATTGTTAACAATAAACATTAAATTTAAAAATAACTGCATTTTTTTTCTCCACCTTAAAAACATCATGAAGTGGTTTGAGAGAGCAGGGGATGCTTTGCAACCTCAGGAATCATTATCTAATCAGAAGGGTGATTTTCTTTTCTTTTTGATTATTTTTTTGATACCAAGGATTGAACCCAGGGGTGTTTAACCCCTAAGCCACATCCCCAGTCCCTTTTTTGTATTTTATTTAAGAGACAAGGTCTCACTAAGTTGCTTAGGGCCTCATGTAGTTGCTGAGGCTGTCCTCAAACTTGGGATCCTCCTGCCTCAGCCTCCCAAGCTGCTGGGATTACAGGTGTGCACCCCTGTGCCTGGCAGGCAGGGAGGCAATTTTTAATGTGCTTCATTTGGGACACTGAATGGAAAAGTCAAGAGCACCGGTAGGTGTCCATTGACTGAGGACCATCAGGGTTCAGCTCTGGATCTGTGAGACCCTGTGCCATTAGTGAACATCTCTGGGCTTCCACTAGTTACCTGTTCAAGGAGATGGGGGCAGGTACTCCCTGGGATTCCTTCCAGCTAAAATATGAAGTCTCGCTTTGTGTATTTTCAGTAAACTTCATAAAAATCTAACAGGCAAGTTCCCTAAATAACACAACCTGCTAAAACAGAAAATGCTCTAGGCATGGGAAAGACCAGATCAAACCTAATTTATATTTTGGTAAAATAACCAACAGTCTGTCAGGATTTCCTCTTAAGAGGATTTTAGCCTTTGAGGAACTATCCTTGAGGATAAAGTGATTTTTATGGCAGGAAGGTGTTATTTCAGTAAATAGAAGCACATTGATCAGCTATACATGTTCAAAGAAGACAGAGGCACCTGAATATAATACATAATACCCAACGTACAAGGTAATACTTAATAAATTAATTGAACTTCTCAGCACAGTCTTATTATCAAAGGGTTTTTTTTTCTTTTTTATATGAAAGGTAAAGGCTTCAGTAAACATGTTAAGGAAGACTGAGGGTATGGGCATGTATGAATCTCTTCTGTCCTGTATTGTCCCCACAGGGAGTGCCAGAGCCAGCCATGGTAGTCAAGCCAGCACCGCCTTTCAAGGGAGCATCTCCCAGATTATGAGTGATCAGCACCAAGCTGATCCTGCCCAGCTCTGACCCTGGAGACCTGGCATGGTCCCGACTGCCTCTTCATGTTCATGCTCTTGGGTTTTAAGTCTTCCCCATGTTTTCAGACAAGGTCAGCAAAATCTAATTTCATAGGAAAAAAAAAACAAAACAGTCCAAGTGACTGGCGCACCTCAGGTCACCAAATCCTAAGTGTCATCTCGGTAATCAGGGCCTCCAAACTAGGGTACCACAGCAGGACCCAGATCTGTTCCAATAAGACGCTGCTACGTTTGTTTTCAACATATAACACACCTAATATTTTATCAAGGGATGCATTTCTACCGCACTTTATAATTCTCAAATGAAAGCAAGCCCACACTTTCTGAATAACTATTTCTTGGTGTTTACAAAAACATTGCCTTCCCTCACCTGTCCGTCCTTCCATCCATCATTTCAGGTATGTCACAAACCAGCACAGAGCACCGTATGCAGGTACCCTTTGTTCTCTGCTGGCCTCAACAGGAACCCCTTTACGGTCCCCGGGCTCCTACAATGTTCCTTCAAATGGAAGGTCTCTGCATGGACTCTCCTGGCACCAAGTGTGACACATGTCAAGAAATTTAACTGTGACAGGTTCAGATATCAGCACGTCACAGAAAATTTACCACCTCTAACCCTTGAATAAGTCTTCAGCTCCTTTTTTATCCACTTACAACCTCAGGAGAGGGAGATCAACAACAGTGGATAAGTTTGCAGGTAGATTTACCAGGACCTGCCCTTCGCTAGCCTTTGAAAACCCTTCATTAAGAGAACAGAAAGCTTTCAAAGCAAATTGAACCAAACTAGCATTTTACTCGAACAATTTCAAATCTTCACACCTACTAACATAATTCTCTTTAACCCTATTTGCTTTTAGAAACAAAAATAAGTTGCTCTGTTCCAACAACGTGGCCCTACCTACGTTAGCTAACACAAGTTTCAGAGTTCGATGGTGCTGTTTGTATTTTTTTTTTTTTAAGGCATTGATTTGACTAAATGAGACAACTTGGGTTATGATGGGATAATCTCAGCGTTAAGACAAAAAGTCATGCTCACAAGGCCTGTGCGGGCTTCTGTGCGCTCCGAGGTGAGCTTTCTCTGTGGTTGCCAGTGTCTGACAGTAAACAGCTCACTGCATTTATTGGCAATTACTGCTGAAGGTCACACATCAGCAGTGAGCCTAAATTCCAGGAAAAAAAAGCAGCTCTTATGTAACTGCCACCCGAGTGTTGGCAGGTGCCCAACTCAGCAGTTCACAGCGATGTAAAAAAGTAGGGCACCTCCACCAGGGTAGGACGTCATGAGAACGCCCCCTGAAGGTGGAAATTCACAATTCTTATGGCACTCTCCTTTTTATTCCCGGCTCCGAGTTTGACCAAGTTCAGTGGCATCTTTGCAGAAGCAGCTGGGGGCGGCAGAAGTTGAGGGCTCAGTTGAAGCTGGCGGCCGCCTCTCTGGATAACTGGGAACGTCAGTCTAGCTTTTTTGTTGGGCAGTAGGCAGCCCAAGTTGCTAGTTGTCCCCAGAAGCTCCAAGGGACCACGATTCAATGGAGAGGACACCTCAAATGCATAGAAACGGACACATGCACCGAGCAACAGCCCACACTTTCTAAACTGCCCATACCTTTCCAAGGACACATGGGTGACACCTAGGTGGAGCTTGCCACCTCTGCCTCAAGTCTGAGCCTCTCATCACAGGTTAGAAAAGTGGCTCCCGCCATCATCTCCTGGGGCTACCATCCTACCTGACCTCCTGCATAGGAGTTCCCAGACCACATGTTCTCACGGTTCCATGGACTTCTCTTTTTTGACATTTCTCCTGACAGCTGTCATTTTACACTAATTTGTATCACTGTCTCTCTCTCCAATGAAAGTGCAGGCTCCAGGGTGGCAGCTACTGCATTCCCTGGGGACACTGTTGTATCTGAGTTCTCCAGCACCTGCCTCAAATGTAACAGGCCCTCGGGACCCGAGTCCTAGAGATGCATGCCTTCACCACCAGCTGGGGTGGTTCTAGGGAGGTAGACACATTGTACACCTTGGCCTGGGGGATGGTGACGCAGGCGTGTGCCCACAGAACAATCTATCAAGACTCAAACCTGAGGAGGAGCTGAAGGGACACAGGCAAGCAGTTTCCTTCCGCAGCCCCTCTCCCCACTGTCCCCCAGGGCCCCAGTGGAAAGGTCAAGCCAGAGGGTGAGGGGACTCTGCCCCTTTATTTGCCAAGAAACCAAAACCCAAACCCCAAACCCCTCCTCTTCCCGGTGTCAGATGGAATTTTATTCTAGAAGACAGCTGCAAAGGGCCCATCGCATGTACGTTTCTTGTCCCCACTTCACCCTGTCTTCTCGGGAGCCTGGACGGGGATGCAGCAGGCACTGGGCCTTTTTATAGGCTCTCTTGGCATGCCCCCCTGGCCTTTATCATCAAAGGGCAGGGCCTGTTCTCAGTGAGGGCTGCTGGGGTGCCAGGCAGGCCCTCCTCTGTCCTTGGGGCGTCCCCCATGTCAGGCTCTGCAGTGTGGCCACCCCAACGCTGGCCCAGCCTGAGCTCTCATTAACCGCCTGCAGAGCCATGGCTGTGACTGCAGGCTTCCAGCAGAACACACCCACTAAAGGACCAGTAGGGGGAGAAACCACAGGAGCCGAGGTCGTGCCCAGAACAGCATCGATGATAAGACCAATCCGTCATCTCTGCCTAGAGGGCCAGACCCAACAGCCTGAGGGACTGGGGACAGGGTGCTAGTGTCCTGGGGCTCTGACGGTTACCAGGGTAACAACGCAGAGGGGATCCACAGTTGCCTCCTCAGGGAATTTTCAAAGAATCCCAGTGCCCGCCAGAACATTCTTCTTTTATAAACAGACAGTATTCTATTTCCTAGAGTATAATTATAAACACACCTGCTCCAACTGTGGAATCTTTCCATAAGCAAGCCATAAACTCCCAGCCAGGAGGACAAAGTTGTATCTTGAGCAAGCAAACACAACAACTCATTACTACAGTGCAAAACAAGAGTATTAATAACACCACGGACTCTGACCCGCCAGGGAAGGGCTTCTTTCCTTGACTTTATGTGTACTTCAGCAGAGAGAAACTCATCCTCCATATTTCAGGGGAAAAAATGCAAATCAGTGAGGCATTTACAATGTTAGGTAGAGACAAGATTTCGAAGGCTGCCAACGTAGAAATCAGCATAGGGTATTTTTCAGTGTAGTTAAAAAAAAATTAATGAAACCGCTGAATCCCTTTTTTCTTCACCTTCTGTTCTTTCCAGAAGGAACCGCCTCCTCCCCTGCCCATGTCTGTGATCTCTGTGCTTCAAAGATTCACTGTGCTGACCCGCCAGGAGCTGAGCCCGCTGCATGCTAATTTGCCACTTTCTTGCTGTGTGGGCCGAGACCTGCCACTTAGCCTCTCTGTGCTCCATTCCCAAAGCAACCAGACCAAATTCACAACCATTTGTCTTGTTTTGATTTTAAGTCTCTGATTCCAGCTCTCCATTGGTGATCTGAACTATTTCTTAATACCTCTGACATTAGGGCGAATTAATTAAAATACATATCATGGTAGACAACATGTTCTGTCTGATAGTGCTCTCTCTCACTCAAAATAAGGTATTAATTAGTCTACCAAAAGAGGAAGTAGATCATTAAAACAGACCAGAAAAATGACTACAATATGTCAAATGAAATTCTATTCCAGTGTGCTCAATTTGCAGATCAATTAAACGATCTCAATCACACACATTAGGTCCTCAAATTAATTTTTTCCCAATACCATTCACTCAGCCTAAAAACATGACAAGAAATGTTGGGAAAAAAATTCACAAAACAGACAATATGCAAGGAGCCCCCAAGTCCCACACAAAATGGCCACCCCACTTTTCCGTCTCCAAGATAATTTTGGGTAAATGCAACGAATGTGACACATCCCTACAGAAGCCACTAGGTGACCTCTCAATTTCTGGATGTACAGATAAGGGAAGCCATGGGTACAGGGCATTCCTCATTTCAGGACTAAACACCACTTCCAAATTCACAATGCCTCTCGAAGCCGTCTACGTGGGCCCCCAACTCAATACTTATCACCAGACACCCAGAAAGCAGTGTTCCTTTTTGTTGTTGTTGTTTAAAAAAAAAAATAGTTTAAAAGTGGTTTAAATTCTCATTGCATCAAAAGCTTTACAGGGCAAAAAGGTTCCTTAGGCTAACATCAAGATGGAGTTTCAGAGATAAGTTAAAGGCAATGTCAACCACAAATTCAGTTTAGATTCTAGACGTTGAATGAATGGAATCTTATCAGAGTTTTAAGAATCTTTGTCCAGACTCAGATGGGATCTTCAGCGACAAATGGCAAACAAACTCATGGGAAATGCTCACAGAGACAGGAGAGATTCTATTTACTCCACAAAGGACGCTACACAGAGTCAGGTACTTAGACTCATGGAGACCAGAAGACAAAGGCACAGGCTAACTGGAAGAGCGTCATGGAAACGCCACCATGGGACATTCAGAACAAAAAAGCAACCAAATTAGGACCTCAGCATTATCCAACTCATCAATGGAAATTTGCTGGAAAAGAAAAAAGGGGGAGAAAAAGAAAGAGGTTAGAAAAAGAAACATAGCCTGCTAAGCATTAGAGACTCTGCAAATGTATTCTTGTGGGTCACCTTAAAGGGCTATTGGATAGTGACGGTTTTTAGGGTCTGGGGCATCGTGGACATGACCACAGCTTGCAGCAACATCTGTGAACATCCAGATCAAAGCAGGCAGGATGCTGCCACAATTCATTCGCATCCAGGTATCAAACCTCCCGAGTCACTAGGCCACAGGTCCAGAGGGCCCTGCGCTCCCTGACAGGGACACAAGGTGGAACTGGGTGGGAACAAGGGCCAATTCCCCAAGCAACGCTTCTTTTGGCAGAGGACAGGAAGAACAGAGAGGAAGTCTAGAGTAGGACTGACTCAATTTAGAAGGAAGTTGTTGCCCGAGACTCATTTCATGGTTTCAGTGGGGTCAGGAGCTCACCCTGCAGATGAGCCCAATGAGACCCAGCAGTCCTAGGCTAATTAATACTGCTGATGACCGAGGGACGGGGACAGCACAGTTGGTGCTGACCCAAGTCACACCCGTAACACAGCACGTATTAGCTCAAATACTAGGGAAAGGAAAGACTCACGAGAGAATGATCACAATGATCCCTGTTTCAGGATAGAGGGAAGACTCTCATGTGATTTTACCACATTTTGTATTTAGTATGTTCTGCGAATTGAAGTGGCTGTCGGAAAGATTACTGGCTTGAAATGTCAATGCTCTACTCACCTAGAACAAAGCAGCTTTGGTAATTAACTAGGATTACAGGAAAGGGAGACCCCGGCCTTACCTGGGATCCTGGCTCTCTACTACCAAACAGCTAGGACTATTCAGGAGGGAAAATGGAATTTTAAAAAAATTCTGAGTTATCCTTTTACACGAATTCCTGGACTCCAAATTCCTTCCCAGAGCTCTTTAATAATTTAAGTCAACAGTAGCCAAATAAAAACCTAGTCAAGTACAGGTAGCCAATTCATGAAATAACCATGTCCCCTTTTCCGGCATGGCCCAGGGGCCTGAAGATTTTTGTGTGTGTGTTAGAGACTGAGATTTGAATTAAATTTAGAGATGCTTAGCCATGGAGGTTTTTAAATTTTATTTTATTTGGTTGTTCCTTAAATATGGACTTGGTTTTAATCTGTAGATTAAAAGCAGAGTTTAATAGGAATCCCTTAAAGTATTTATAAAGTCCTGAGATAAACTCAAATAAATTGGAAGTTTACTTTGAATAGTCAGGTTATACAGTTACTATAAGCATCGTACAAAAATGTATTCCACCATCATTTCAGTGATGATTTTTAATATTTTTTTATCTCATATTCCACTCTGAGAACACTCATTTCTGGTCATTTGCACTTTAGAGTCTTAGTAACTAATGATATTTTTGTTCCTAAGTGATTGCTAGGGTTTGGGTATGTGTGCCCCTAACGGTCACACATAGGAGGTTAGACCTCAGTACAGAGATGCCAGGAGGTGGTAGGACCTAGCAGGATGCCTTTACGTCACTGGCAATCCTCCCTGGAAGAAATGAAGGTTCTTCTTGTACAATTTTGAGTTACTTGCCAAAGTGAGTTCCCTCTCCATCAAGAAGCTGGCTCAGAATGCGATTTCTGGCTCCCCCAGAGGGTCCACCTGGTGCCAATCCCCATCTGGCCCTTATCAGAGGGCAAATTAATGAGGTCGCCTGATCTTAGACTTTAAGTCTTCCAAACTGGAAGCTAAATAAACTTCTTTGCTTTATAACATCACCTGCTCCTAGTAATTTATTATAGTAAGAGAAAAATACACTAGCACAGGGATCAGAAGTAAGCTAAAGCCTAGTGTTTAAGATCTGCTATACCTGATTCTGTTGGGTCCAGTGGCCCGGTTGACACTATCATGTAACATGATGAAAACTTAAGATGTTAAACCTGTAGGTGGACTTAAAACACTCAAATGGTGTCTGTTCACTTAGGTGGGATCCAGTTGTGCCGAGCTGGTCTCTGGAATCAGCCTGTTGGTCTGGGTTTAAGTTCCTGTCTTGCTGGTTATTGGATGTGTGACCCCAGGCAAGTTTCCGAATCTCTCTGAACTGGAATCTTGTAACTCATGTTTAAAAATAGTAACAATAATGATACCTATCACTGAGACTGATCTGAGATAAGGTAGGAGACGTGCTCAGTGTAGTCTGTGGCACCCAACAAGAAGCCAATAAAAGTTACCATTGTTATTAAAGACGTCCTCTACCAAACTGGTGGGTACACATAGTAGTCACAGTCTGAAGGGGACTCTGGTATATTTTAGTCGATTTTTAATACAGGTAACAGTTCTCAATGGCTTCTTCTTTTTTAATTTTGTTTCCAGACAAGTAGACTCATCTAAGCACACCACTGTTTTTGAACAGGAACATACAGGATGATTTCAAGTGTATTATTTATGTGTGACCCTGACTCTATCCTAAGGTTGAATAAAATGTAGAGATGAGGGAAGGCTACCTAAGCCTCGTCACTTATAAGGATGACAGCTTAGAAAAGACAAGACAACATGGTCCATGCTGGTGGACGACCCTTGGGGAGGCTGGAGACCTTGGTTCCAGCCCTGACCCCACCACAGACACTTCATGCAACTGTGGACTCTCGTCTTAGCCCTCAGCTTGGGCTCCTTGGGTGCAGGGGGAGGGCAGGGAAGCCAAACAGCCCTGGCACCTACAGGAAGGTGACGGTCATGGGAAAAGCTGCCCATCGGAGGCAGCTGAGATGGGAGGAGGAAAACGCCTCAGCTCCCAGGCCAAAGAATACCTCTTTGATTTCACCCACGAGAGCCAACTGGTTTGCTTGGGAAAGGTTAGTTCTTTGGCTCCGGGTGACTTCCACCCTTGACGAAGTTGGCCTGCCCTGTGGATCACGCTTCTTCTGTCAACGGGAACAGTTAGTAAGGTGTCAAAAATATCTTCAGAAAGCCTGGGGGGAGCGGAGTTAATACTAAAGACCAGAGGAGGAGAAGCAGAGTGCTTTAGTGTCCTCAGTCCCCTCTAGAGTGGCACTCATGGAAATGGCTGGTTGGCATTTTGCAGCCACCAAAGCTCTTTACTGGGAGCTGCTGGACAAACATAGGTTTCCAGAATGCCTTCCTCAGCTTCATGACCATCCTCATCCATAGGATTTTCCTTTTGGTGATGGGGGATGACAGGCCCAACCTCTGGAAAGAAAGCTCTCTCCTCCCAGCCTCTCTGCTTGGGTATGATGAATTTCTTCACCCTATTAAGAAACTTGAGTTAAGGGGCTGGGTACAGGGATGCATGTCCACAATCCTGCGACTCAGGAGGCTGAGGCAGGAGGATGGCAAGTTCAAGGGTAACTTAGCGAGACCCAGCCTCAAAATAAAACATAAAAAGAGCTGGGAATGTGGCTCAGTGGTTAAGCACCCCTGGGTTCAAATCCCCAATGCTAGAAAAAAGGGAGGGAGGGGGAAGACCTGCCTAGGTGTCTAGGCAACAGCTGTTTGAATAGACCCTCTCATATTTCTCCAATGTACTAGGGTTCTTTGCTTCTATTTATATTTATAAACTCTTGCCTGGCATGATGCCTCCAAAAATTCCTACTGAGTTATAGAAAACTGTTTTCTAATTAGTCACTATTTGTTCACCTTTTAATTTATGTATTTTAAACTTTAAGAGTAACACTTAAAAGCCTCGTGATTGGGGTGCAGTGGAGGAAGACTGAGCACTTGGAGGATCAGATGTTTTCTTATCCAAGGACCCTCTCGTCCGAAGCTGTTCTAATATGAATGAGAGGAGTCCTGGAGCTCAGAAAGCAAGGTTCCTGCAGTTGTTGATACGTGGGATGGCCTGGTGGGCACCACCTATTCTGACAAGGAAGGCTGTCATTTAATTATCAAGGCTTCTTCATAGAGCTGAAAAAAATCAGATCCTGGGAATTTTGAAAGGCCACCAAGCTCTGTGTATTGACCTATCACAAACCACTGCCAAAGGGCCCAGCAGACATTGAGCAGACTTCGCACCTCCCAAGGCAACCAGGTGTCACTGGAGCGCAGGCCTGAGATGCTGTGTTGGAGACTGAAGGGACAGTGTGGTTGGAAACGCCCACGTGGCCCAACATGGGAGACAAGGAGGACATCCCGGCAGATGCCTGCTCACTGTGTATCCTCAGCAGCAGCAGGTCTTGGGGATTGTCCCTTTCACAATCCCACTCAGAAATGGTGTAGCGTCTGCCTGCTGCTGAGTTTCCAGTTAGAACCGGACGGTGTTCCTTCATGCTCTGGAGGGGTTGTGCAACCCCTCGTTGGAAAGAAGCAAGCAACCCCACAGGTGCACTTAGCTGGAGCCCCAGTCCAGGAACATGGACTGTGACACTCAGAGGTATGTACTTCTCACTGGGAACTTAAATGAGGAAAACCTCTGACTTTACATGTCGAGCAGCCCTTTAGAGACAACCAAGTACATTCAAGCTTTCTGGATGGAACCCAGGGCTTCAGACACCCTAGGCAAAAGCTCTACTAGTGAGCTACATCCCAGCCCAGCACATCTGACTTTTAAGGAGACACTCATATGATTCAACTACCTTTAGGAACAGGTTAAACAGCTTAAAAAAATTAAGCTCCTCAAATGCCTGAATTAAGGTTATTTCTAAGCACTCTCATCTCTTCAATTTAATAGCAAGGCATGTTTTTCACAGGAAAATAAAACACGGTACCTTTTCTCCGTAGCCTCTATCTTTGGTCATCATTTCTCTGAGGGTCTGTAGGACTTTAATGCAAAGTTTCTCCTCATTTTCTTCTAGTAGCTGTTTAGTATGCTTTATTAACCTGAATGAGGGAAGACCACAGATTACAACCCTGAAATGATCTTTCCGTTAAAAACACTTTACAAGAAACTTATGGAACTCGTCGGTTAAAGAACCAATATTTATTAAAGTTAAACAGACTTGAGGACATGGTCACTGCGCCCAGAAGAGACCCAGACTGTGGCTCAACAGCGACACCTGCTGGCCATTAACAGCCCACGGGCTCAGCAGGCAAGAAGTGACCATGTACAATGGAGAGATTATATGCAGCTGAGAAACCAGGAGGTCCACTCATGAAGTGAGGCTCTTTATCCACTGAAGACTGCCGCTGGGATATGCCAGCAGGGTATAAAAAATAACCTCAACAGGATAAAGTTCCCTAATCCACAGCCTTTGAGGGGTTCTCCAAAGGAAGAAACTCATAGGCAGGGGCCACCCCCAAGGTAGACAAACTCAGGGTAAAAATCAAACAGAGCTCCCTAGTCAAGGAACCACTTGCATCTTTCATATTATGCCCCATGGCACAAACTAAGAACTACCCAACTTTTCTGTTAGGAAAAGATCTGAGGTCATGTGGGCCTGAGATTTGTAAAAGCTGAGAAGTCATGATTGTTTTACGTCTGAGCTGCTGAGCGTGGAGGGTGCTCTGTCGAGACTTGCTGGAGGTCGAATGAATGGGCATGCAATGAAAAGGAGAGTCTCACCAAAAAAAAAAAAAAAAGAAAGAACAAGGAAAGAGAAAAACAAGTTGTCAGTTAAGTATGATTTAATAGAAGGACTGACATTGGGAAGGTCAGAACAGTACTCTAGCACATGACCTTGCAAAGTCAAACACCAGGACAGCGTCTCCTTCTGTGGGAACAAAGGCTCAGTCTGGTCACCAGACTTCTGGCCACTGACTACCACCAAGAAGGGGGCCACTTACTTGCAAATGAAACCACCACTTTCACATTTCCGTCGGGCATCTGTGTTCTCTGGGAAAAGCAGCTCGGGCCTGTGCAGGACATCGACGAGCACAGACAGCTCGGCTTGTACCAGTGGCCTGAGGCGGTCCTCCAGGGCCGAGACAATGTCCTGCAATGGAAGCATGGCTTGGTTGCCAACTCTGGCCAGGGCTGGTGGCAGCAGGGCCGGAGCCCACTGCTGCCCTAAGCCACAATGCACAGGCTAGGCTGGGTTAGGGTGACTTCAGTACTGTGTGGCATTTATCTCACAGGCTCAGACCCTGTGCAATGGTCACCTGAAGCACTGCCTCCTGATGCAGAAGATGCCGAAAGGACAAATCACGCCCCGCCTCCCCTTCCTCTGAGATGGTTTTGTGCTACTCGGGGGATCATTCCACATATTTTAAGATAGGATGCAAAAATGCAATTAACAGTATGGAAAGATGTCTACGATACAAGTGTAAAAATGGTCAAGCAACACCATGGACCATGATGCTATTTTTATAAGCAAAATCCCAAACTAAAGGATACATATGGACTACTTTGAAAACATCATTAATGCTTTTCTCTGGGTGGTGGCATTACAGGTGATGCAGATTCTCCTCTATCGAGTGTCAGTGTCATGTATTTTCAATGAGCATGGATTACTCACACAATCAAGTCATATCAACATGAGAACACACATATGAATGAACATGCTGTATCAACATGCTAAATACATGTACCCTGATAGCATGATGGTCTTCAAATGCAAAACACACAGCTGCAGGAAAGGAAAACAGAGAGAAGTTGAAAGAGCAGCAAAACCAACAAAACAAACACCATTTAAAGGCAAATGATAGAAAAACAGATGAGAAATCATCTTCAAAAGATGCTAAGCCTGTTCTGTGGCTCGCCGATTAGAAACTTAACTGGAAGCATGCTAAGATGGGCAGAGAACACTGGATCATCGGTGGGGGTTGGAGGGGGGTGTTTAAACAAGATTTGCAATAGCAGAAGCTGCTTAAATCGGCATTCACCTCCACTGGGGACCCACTGGGACCAAGAAAGAATTGACTAGTCTTTTATTCAGAAACTAAAATTAAACCACATGGAGAGAAATTTACCTTATATTTAACAAAATTAGGTGATAATTGTAACCACTCAATAATGTTTAGTTTACGTAAAGAATAGATAAATGAACCAAATATATATATTGACATGGGGCAGGGAGTGGCAATTTTCCCAGTAAGAACTGGAAGACAATAGATCGCAATATCTATTAATTTGTGTGATTTTCATAGCAGTCAAAAAGAGGGGTCATTTTTGCAACATTCTCTGGGGGTCTTTTTCCCTAATAGCTTCCCCTTGAGAAGCACTCAACTTTCTCTTCTTCACTAGCTACTGGCCCTAAGACTGGCAAATCTTTGTTTAAGGCACTGGCATGGGACGGACTGAAGTAGCTCTTTCACATGACATCCACGTATTTCATGAAATCTTGCATCTTTTGCAAAATCTGAACTTGACACAGCAATTGATCTGCATTGTATTGTCAAATGCAGGACATCCAGCAATCAGGAGGGGCCAGCCAAGACGGCAAAGCGATGGGTTGGGGAAGATGCTCAGGGGAAGAGTGTCTAAACAGGACTTAATTGTACAAGGGGTCAGTTTCCCAGCAAAAGTTCTTATATCCTGACAGTTCTTGTTGGATCATGGCAAGGCTTGGATAATAATCTGCAGAATGGGGATCCTGTAAGCCCCTGAGCAAGGCTTTTTAGCTAGTATTACCTACATACGTGATCTATTTCATCCCAAGAATATGCATAATAGATGGAAGAAAAGCACAAGAAACGGCTATGTTTGACTGCAGTAATTGGTGTAGACTGAATGAGAAGATTCTGTGCATTCAGAGTCATGAGTATATATTATTACTCCTCCCCTTTCTAAAAGCATAGTGAAGTCAGGAAGCATTTCCATTTGGAATCCAGCTACCTTTGCTCAAGAACAGGTTCTATCATGATACAGGATAGATTTTTTTTTTTTTTTTTTTTGGTAACAGGGATTTAACCACTGAGGAACACCCCC